CGTGGTTTCAAAGCTTGGACCTGTATCTTTCTCTGCAACATAAAACATTTTTTTTTAAATTTAATTAAGTTCAGACTGTAATCACTTTTTGATCTGAATGTTGATGAATCATAATTGCTGCATAAGTAAGGAAGCGTAATGCATTCACAAGAAAAAAAAGCAGCTTTTGAGCATTTGAGCAGAATTTTTTTCCACGAACTTTTCTCAAAATTGTGAGGTTAATTTGCAAAAAAAGAGCAGTTTTTTTTCCTAGTGGATACCTCATGCTTCTGTACATATGTATACCAAATGCATGACCTTTTCCAATCAAGTCCTGCCCAGTTCAAACATGAAAAATGCACAGACCAAAACATAAATACAGAAAATTTGTGTCTTAGAATAAGCAGAATTTTACCAGGAAATGTTGTGGAAGTTGTAGAATTGTGTAGTTGAAAGATAAATGTGTCCAGTGAGTCAACATGTTGATCAAGAAAAAAAGTGTGACAGAAAGTTTCACATGCATTCCTGTAGTGCACGAGAAAATCATGTAAAATCCCTGCGCATAACTTTTTTTTAAAATATTAAACAATATATTTTTTAACTAGAAAACCCCCAAAACAAATAAAGAAATAATGTTGGTTTGACATTTTGGGAAATGTTCACTTTCTTTTTAAGAGTTAGATTTTAGAGTGTCATGTCTGCATTGTAAATTCTGATGGTTAGCTCACAATTAACCAGTTGTATCTCTGATTAAACACTGACGTAGCCACCGTAAAGTCACCTATTGGTTTGTGGAATCCTGTTTTGAGCCTCGAGTTTGGCATTGCAGCCGTCGCCATCTTGTTTTTTGGAGCTAGAAGTGACCATGTTTGTGCGGGAGGCTGGTGCTATGGAGGAGTAAGGCGTGGACTTGACTGAGAAGCCAAGGTTACTATCGGCAGACGGACTGTCACTCAAAGCAGCCTGCCTTAATTATGTGTAACTTTAAGCCTTAATAAAATGTAAATGGATGAGTTTTATAAAAATTCGCCCCTGTACAAATGTCATGGAGAAGAAAATTAGCTACAGAGACTAAAACTGTTGTTTGCACCAGGTTGTAAACATGTTTATTTGGGCATTTTTACACTGGTTTCTATGAGGATTGAGTGGCTTCTTGAGCCAGCCTAGAGTGGACATTCAAAGAATTGCAGTTTTTGGCACTTCCATGTTGGCTTCATTTTTCAGGCTTGGAGATTGCCGCATGGATATAACATGATTTGATAACTCATGATAACATGAGTGAGCCCTGGAGGTGCTATTAGGTGCAGTTTTTAGCCAGACTAGAGCAGTTTCCTGCTGTTGTTGATCTTTGACCTAAGCTAAGATGACCACCTACTAACATAGCTTCATATCTATTGTAATTGTAACTGTTGAACAGAGCCAGGCTAGCTGTTTCCTCTGTTTCCAGACTTCATGCTAAGCTAAGTTAGCCAGTTGCTGGTGGTGGCGGCTTCATATTTACCATCCAAACAGTGACAGTGCACCAGCTCTCAGTAGTAAGATAGCAGATAAGCTTATTTTTCCACATTTGTAACTTTTTAAAATGATTTAGTGACAAAAAAAACACAGGAGAAAATAGAATTTATTGACAAGTTAATCTAATTGCAGACACTCAGCTCAGACAGATGCCAAAGTATTCAAACAAATAGGCTATTTAACAGCACAGGCAAGAAACAAGGGAGTTTTCCATCAGTATAATGCCTCCTATATAATTTCATATTCAAGCGTCGGGATCAGCAGAAGCCACAGACGCATGTGAGCATGACCTGCTTCTCTGAGCACAAATGTGGGGAAAAGTGTATGTATGCAGTTCTTAATGGTAGTAATTTCTAAAATGGCCCATAAGGTTGATTTAGGGCTCACGAAGAGACAGATCAGCCAGAGTTTAAACAGCAGGATGCTTCATCAGGAATATGCTGTGTGTGCTACTGTTGAATAGGGAGTGAGGGTGGGAGAGCGGTTGAGGGGCGAGGCTGCCCTGAATATACCGTCTGCATGCATGCAGCTCTATCCAAACACTGCTAATCTGTTTAGGTGTAACAGATTGATTCCAGTCAAAGGGTTCGTTTAAATTGAAGGCGGAGTAGTGGATGTTGTTGGCAGTAGCAGGTGATGCTCTGAAAAAAAGAGAGAAGACAGAGAGGCAACCGAGTCCTCCAGAGGGATTCAGTAAGGAATGGACCTCGTTTTAAATTTCCTCCTTGTTTACAGCATCTGAAACCAAGAGAGGATTTCATTCAATTAAGCCTCTCCCATTCGTTCCTCGTCCCACACAGTCTGTCTTCCTCCGTCTCTGCCTCCTCCTCTTATCCCACTGACCTCCTCCCTCTCTCCCAATTAGTTAAAGGGAAACCAGATGAATGTTCCCATGGGAAGCCAGTACATCACCCTAACGCACCACACACACACACATGCTCCTTCACATACTGGGGTAGGCGTTTCACCATGTCAGAGAAAGCTAACGTTGAGGTTAAAAATTCACCACTGCCCTCTGATGTTTGGACATTTAGCCAATATGCAACAGTAAGGAGAATTGCTCAATGTACATTTTCTCTGAGGCGAAGCCTGACAGCGTAATGGTCAACAGATCATAGTTAAAGAGTAAAATAACATTTGATTTGGAGCCATAAACTTGCTCTGACCACAACAAATCACCCGTAATGCAATGTCCCTGTTTGTTTGAGGGCTGTAAAGACACAGCAATGGCTGACAAACTCAGTTCATTCCCATCTCAAAGCCAGAAAGACAAAGAAAAAACTTAATTACTCACCGAAAAAAGAACTTAACTTTCCACTAAATCCAATTTGGATGATCTGACCTGGCGTGCGGCCAGACTAAGTGTCCGCATTGCGTAGGCCTGCACAGAGTGCTGGAAGTGGGCCCTGAGTCACTGACCTGAGGGGGAGCTGGACGTCTATATCAGCAGAGCTGCTCTATAAAAGAGTTTTGATGAAACCTTTTAAGCGCTGTAGTAATTCTTTAAGTCACATCTGTTTTATTGGATATAGAAGGAACGCGTTTAATTACCTGTGATTGTGAATGCATGAACAGTGGCACATGTAAATTATATTTATAATTCAAATTATATGATAGCATTATGAATGAAAATGATCTTTTCCTGCCTCATACAGTCAGAGCAATATTAAAATATCTTTAAAGCCAGCAGTGGAGACAACACACTGCACCCACCTATCATCACATCTACAGTATTTGAGAACACTCTCACTGACTGTTCTCCACACTTGTGCCAGTTCAGTTGGTGTCATTTACGGGAGCTGACATCTGGTTTGTGTATTTGTTTGGTCAGCTTGTGACCTGTGTCATCCGGTCAAAACAAAACTTAAAATGAGCTCCATGTTTGGTTTGGCTGTGATAGTCCAAGGCAGGGGCAACAGGCTATGAATGACATCTCTATCACAGTAGCTTTTATCATATTAGGTCATTTTATTGGTATCATTTTGTTTTGGAGAATCTACTGAGGGACTATTTATGGGTAAAATAGACTGACAGGGATGTTAGTTGTGGCCAAGCGTCAGTCTACAGGGCTGAAAAATGGCACCAAAGTGCTGAAAAGTGTAATTCCTCTAATGGACACCTAAGGCTGGCTCCATAAGCAGGTCTATCCCCATAGACCCCCATTTTAAAACGGCCTATATTGCAGAAATAAACATGTTTACAGCCTGGTACAAAAACTGTTTTGGTCTCTATAGCTGATTTCAAGGAGGGGGTTATATAACTCACCTGTTTAAATTTGTGCAAATATGGCTACCTCTTTCTCCCAAAATCCAGGATGAAGACAGCCAAAATGCCAAACTTGAGGCTTCAAAATGGGAGTCTACAAACCAATGGGTGACATCACTCTGGCCAGGGGTAGCCTACACACACGAGTAAAAACGTAGTTCTTTTCATGTTCCTTATTTTAAACTGGAGCTTACATTTAGTCTATACTCAAGTCTATTTTTGAGCCAGTAATCTACTGTTTACTTCACTACAATAACCATTTATACTTTTGTTATCTGTGTGCTCTAAATTCAAGGATAGAGTTCATAGACTGCATATGGACAAGAGTGTGTGAGGAGCACCTCTCCTGCAGATGCCAGTTTCCAGACGCCTGTAAGAAAACGAAGCACCACCTGTGTTTTGACAACAATGATGATTTATACCAAACTCTAAAAAAGACATTTACATGAAGTACTCCTGACCTCTGCAAGCACGTTGCAGTTGCACATGAAAATCTTGTTATCTAGCCAATGTTAGCTATGATAATTTCTCATGTGTAACATTAGTCTTTGAAGTTATGAAGAGATGTAAAGAGCGGGAAATTGGGCCAGTGGTTCCCAACTGGTGCAGCCACAGGGTCCAGATTTCTCCTTAGTCATCAGCTCAAGGTCCCACAGTTTAATATATTCAGCGTCATACTTGCGTTAGTCATGTCGTTGAGCTAGTTTGCTGTCTCTGTCAAATAGCTGTCCATTAGTCACTCACTCTAAATAAAGCTATGTGTCAGAAATTTAATGTTCTTAAAAATAAAGTGTTTTTTACAAACTTGACATATTTGCTATTCACTTGCAGTCCATTCAGAATGGACCCGTGACCCACTTTTGAACCGCGACCCACCAGTTGGGAACCACTGGTATATAGGCTTACTATGTTTGATGAACTTAACTGCTCTACTTCCTTTTAAAAATAAGATTTATAAGAAAGTGTTGTTGGTTTTTTTCCCACTAAAATGCACTTTACTTCACAAAGTGGAAAAACTGGAAAACTAAAATTTAAACTGGAAAGTAACTCAAGTAATTTATTCATTTTTAGGACTGTGGACCTTTAGTAAAGGAACAGAAACACGAGTCAAAACTGAGACACCTCATAAACTAAGTGGCCTGTGGTATGTTGAAACTGCCACTATGTGGTCAATATTGCCATAAAGCAGTTCTGTTAATTGTTTTCAGGTCAGTAAAATTAAATGGACAGTTAACACAATATGAACATTACGGCAGAGTCTCTCATTTATTTCATCACAATGTGATCATGCCACTAATCCTGAACCAGGGTCACCTATCAACCATTAGAGCAGCTTCTCTTCAAACACATTAATACACAGGTTTGTACAGATTTATTAACTGCTTTACATCCTGGTTGGCTACTGAAGATACTAATTTAATGATGATAAAGTACAGAGCAGCATAACTGAGAACAATGGGTGATGCCTTTTTATTCTGTGAGCATGTGTATGTATGTGTGCCTTTGATGAGAAACCCTTATCTGAAAAATGTATATTTTTCATGAACAGTCTGAAAATAAATCAGCGTCAATCAGAAAAACAGTATACACAGATCATATAACTGACATGGCGAAACAAAAATTATGTATGTAAATGGATTTAACTGCTCAAAAACTCAAGTGGTGCGTAGTCATCCTGGGTGTCATTTCCAAGGACTGATTTGAGGAACGGGACGACTCTGAAAAGATTAATATGGAAATCTCTGGAGGTCTCATCTGACTCGACAAGACCACCACCCGACTTGCACAAATCCTTGGTTCCCCAGCTGACCAGTGCAACCTGTGAAAGACAGCATGGGTTACTTTACACAGTCAGCAAGAAATAACGTGAACAAATTACATTACCTAAATTATTTCAATTATGACTTTTGATAGATATTCACACTGGGTGATACCAACACATTCTCATTCCAACTAGTCACATATCGCCTCTTGTTCAATGGACTGTCATGTCTATGTGTGTTGTTGATGTTCCAGGACGCCATGTCACCTTATGCTTGTTACATGCATTATGTCTTTTCAAAATATACTTTCTTTTAAGTTTATTTTTTGGCTTTTTTGCTGTTATTTGCTGTTTGATTTGACAGTTTTAGTGTGAAAGAGAGAGAGAGAGGATGACATGCAGTAAAGGAGCCGTGGATAGGAATCGAATCACTGTTGCAGCAGAGACAAAGCCTTTCTACATTGGGCACCCGCTCTACCAGGTGAGTTACTGCACACCCCACACTTCCTTTTTACAGGAAATGTACAGTTTCTGCTCATTTGTTGTGTGCAGTCTTTTTCAAAATAAACTTTCAGCATTTTTATTTACGTTTATTTCCTTGTGCAACAAAAGCTTGTGCTTCGATTAAAAAAAAAACTTCATGGTTTGGCTCAATAGTCACACGTGAAGCAAACAGCGGCCTCCTGGGTGAAAGTCATGGGTTTGTTGGACTCATCCATTTCCCCTCCCACCTGTGCCATAAGGACTTTCCAGCTCCTTATATTACATTGTTACCAGCGGTGTTTCAAACTGAAGCCATCTGGCAGTGAATCATACTTTCGCAAAAGGTTCCTTTTTGCGTCTGTGTCTGAAGTACGATTGAAATCAAAAATCCAGTGCTTGACCAGTGACTTGCAGCATCAGAAACCAATGAAAAAAGGCATCCTTTAATGTTGGCATGATACACGGCTGGTTGCCATTATAGTTTAACAGCAGCCGGTGGCATCAGGGGGAAACGTGGCGGGACAAGAACGAAAGTTAAGGTGGCGAAAGAGCTGGTGGATAGGTCCAACAAACACCGACCTTCACCCGAGAAAGTAGTACTATCATCCTGTAAGATTCTAAAGCCAAACCCTGTTCTTTCTCCCTAAACCTAACCACTTCATTTTGTTGCCTAAACGTAACCACGTGTTTGTTGCTGAAGGAAAAAAACTTCAATTCGCGTTGTTGTACTGATGTAGTGCGCTTATTTTGAAAGAAACAGTATGTAGATGTTAAATTTCTTGTGAGAACAGAAGTGTGTCTTGAAAGAAGAGAAGTTAAGACGGTGTCCCAGAACCTCAACAACCAACACACCCAGGGTACCTTGCACATCGTATGTGGACGTGGAAAGTCCATGACCAAACGTCAATATGTGACTAGGTCAGATGCCGAATTCATTGACAAGGCAGCTGTATTTGATGAGATGGGAATGAGAACAGGCTGGATATACATAGAAAAGATTGGCTATTTACCTGTATTGTGCGATGCTCGTAGTTCTTGAACACAGCACCTCCAGAGTCACCTGCCAACACACACACACACACACAGACACACACACACACATGGTTACACCCAAAACAATGGACCTCAGTTACTGAGGCAAGAACCTTTTTTTTAATCTTTCTTGATAACTGAGGCTCAAATACTAAGAACTTTTGAGGTTAAAAAAAGCATTTTTGACATACCGGGGTGTTTTACAATTTTCCTTACTTACCCTTAATTAGCCAAAGACATTGCTGCCTCCCTAATGTGACTGAAGTTACTGTGTGTAGGTGAAATGACCCTGTAGCTCCACTCAGAGATGTTTATGGGATATCTAGCAGCTCCTCTCACATAGGGAAAGAACTTGTAATACAGGGAACATACCTTTACATGATATATGATCTCTGAAAGGAGTCCGACCACCAGTGCACAGGAAGTTATCAGTCACTGCATCCTTTGGATTAATCGTTGTGATGCCGTCTGCCTCTAATGCGTGTTGGATGCACATGTCTCTCTGCATTGGTGAGTTGAAGGAAGAACAATAGCTCAGAGAGACTTGTTTTCAGTGAATACATTTTAAAAGCACACGCACACACATAAGGCACAACACAGCTTAGTAATTCAAAACTTACATTATCGCCAAGCTTAGCGTGGACATCTTTTTCAGATATAGTGGTTCCTTTCTTGGTCAGGAAGTTGAGTCTTTCAAGATGAGTCTTTAACAGCATCTGTTCTGTATTTAGAGAACACAAACACACAGGAAATTGTACCTGAGGCTTGAGAGATATCTTATTTTAACAGGAGCCAAGACACTGGATTGATGGAAGTAGACGGTAGTTAGACATATTTTATTTGACTGGGAAATATTAAGAAATGCATGATAAAAGCGCCATGAGTGGTTGGAAGACTAGAAAAGCGCTATACAAGTGCAGCCCATTTACCATTCAAATACTGGTCTTCAGTGTGGATATCCTATACTTAACCCACTCACATGCCACATCCAACTCCCCTTTGACTGAGTTACTATAGTCAACCATGACTTAACCATGACCTCTTTGCCCTAATCCTAACTGCTTCCAACCTTGACACATCAAAAAGTACTTGTCCACCACAGCACACAGTGGGATCCATAATAACATAACATAGGGATGGGTGTAAATAGCCGAAAAGCTGCAGTGTGACTTTTCTCACCGTGGTGAAAATATGTCATGGGTGTAGTAGGAGAAACGGATACAGCATTGAATGCTGGGCCCTGTTCATTCCTATGAAAGTTGCTCAGTGGTGCATGAAGCCAGATAGTTTAGCTGCTGCCTATAGAATTACTTGCAGCAATTTATCTTACTTCTGCTGGCCAAACGACTATTTTCCATTGTAGTGCTCCACAAACTTGAATGGGGATAAAATGATTTAATCTCACAGTTCCTCTAGACTCTCTAAATTTTATTGAACAGAGTGGATCAAATCCTGATATTGAAACAAGTCACCTCGTCAGGGTTGTGACGCTCAAACACTGTCTTACAGATGTCACTTTCACCATATAAGTCAATGGAAGAAGTCTTTTTGGGCCACAGGGCATCACATGACTGACCCTGGAAATTGCAGTACCACTGTTTGGCCACCACGAAAATTGGCTTCAAAGCCTGGCACACTTCCTGGGGTCCTAAAATAGACACTTTGTATTTTTTTTCTCTGGGTCATGCAGCTTTAGCCTCAGTCTTTTAGGACAGTATCAAGTATGTAGCCACCAAGTGCATTTTTTTTTACAGGATTTTTGTTTTAAATCCAGCTGTAAACAAGTATTCATCGAGAAACTGCATTTTCAAGCAACTCATGGAAGCTAATATTAGCGTAGCTACAGCCGGTAAAATCTGCCAACAAATGTCTGCTTTTGTCTGCCTTTGTCTCAAATCAAGGAAACTAACATTCAAAAATCACGGATAAGTATGAGTGACAAATCTGCCACTGTTTTCATTGTAAACATGTGCAACGCCATGAAGGAAAGCTTGACTGGCATAGCAACAGTAACCACGGGGTGTGGGGCTCAGCAAACCTTCAATAGTGATTCATTCATATGAAGACCACGCTGTGTCACAGCACATACAGTGACCTCACCTTGTTGTTTGCAGGTGGATTCACCAACCAGTTTTAGAGCATCACTGGTCTCCTGGGTGCATGGGATGCAAATAGGCCTGAACAAGACACCAAAAACATGGAGAGGATGTTGTTCCAAGTAAATACATTTTAACACAGGATATTCATTTATGAAAATGCACTAATACTAATTTAGTTTTTTCTCAAGGACAGAATTTGTAATTCACCTGATTACAGGTTTGTGCGTGTGTAACCATTTTATCAATGAACCCACTGACGGGACAGAGAATGTAACATCAAATCCAAGTATGACACAAGTTCTCACCTAACAGCATTGGAGATCTGAACATCGTCCACCAGTTGGATGAGAGCCACATCGTAGTCGTAGAACTCCTTCACGCCGTCATTAATTTTAGCTTTAATATTGTACTTTGGGTGCAGCTTGAAGGTTTTCACTTTTTTCACTGTAAAGAAGACACAAGTATTTTTGTTGCTGTCAGCTGCAGTAGTGGATAGCAGATACATTTGTCAAACTAAGATGATTTTCACCTCAAAACTTTTAAAAACCTGACACTGTAACACTTATTTTTGTGAACTTCTGATGCATCATTATGCCATGTTCAGAGAAGTGAAGAGGCATGAGTAAAGAAACATGTATCATTACCTCTGCCCTGTCCATCATCAATCTCAACTCTGACGTTCTCAGGTAAATCTCCAAATGTGAAGCAGTGAGCAGCAGTCAGGATAAACTTGGGGGTCACCAGAGAGCCGAGACAGTTCTTTGGCGGTCCTTCTTTCTAAAAACATGGACAACATGGCAGTACATTATTAATCTGAAGCACTGACTCTTCTGTGTATATAAGCCGAATATTTCTGAATAACAGTTGTTTTCTTCCGTTGAAAAGTATATTTCTCTGATTTTTCTGATTCTTGTTGTCAAGCACAAGCAGTGAAGGTTTTCGGCCATCATCATGCCTGAATAATTATCTAAGAGGACTGTTGGATTTGCTTAGTCAGCCTTGCAAACATATTTCACAGATTAAAAGAAACCCTGAAACATTTACCTGGACAGTAATGAACGCCCACCATGGATACCTTTTCCTTGTGCTTTCATCTCTCTTGTCTTTTATTGAGTCATAGTCCTTGTGAAGACCACACAGACCCTTAACTTCCTCTTCATCTGCATTAAAAAAAAATGTAAAAATCAATGTTGCTCATGTTCATTCATATAAAAACATTGTGGTATATGAACATTACAATAATTTCTTCATTGTTTTATTTTTTCTTTCTTTTTTTAACACACACACTGGGAGTAATTTGGCCTTTAGTGTACTGAACTGAATACATTATATAAAATTACTTTCAATAAGCAAATGGTTTTATCCAAAGCAAATTACGACAAATGCATTTAACCTTTACAGGAATAAGACCGGCTTGTCATCATAAATTGTAAGTGCAAGACATTTTTAATGTATATTCTCAAGCTGTGAAAGTTTTCTTGTACCTGCAAAATTCATCAGGAAAAAAATTCGAGATCTTATGGGACAAGAAAATGATGGAATTCTTAAAAAACAAGAGTACGAGTCGACAACCATGTGGAGCAGCTGTCGGAGGCTAAATGCTAACATTAGAGCTGCAACATGCTCACAATGACAATGCCAACATTCTGATATTCAGCAGGTATAATCTATAATGTTTAGCTGGACATGCTAGCATGCTTACATTTTCTTATTAGCACTAAACATAAAGTACAACTGAGGCTGATGGACATGTCAGTTTCAGCACTCTAAAAGGTCCGGTGTGTAGGAATTAGCATCTAGTGGTGAGGCTGAAAAACTGAAACTTCTCTCATGTTCCAAGCGCATAGGCAAACTACAGTGGCCGATGCAAAAACATTAAAACGTGAATGACCAACATGTTCTCATCCTAATTTGTAAAACATTGCCACTTTGTCTGTAGACTGTCATGTCTATATATGATGCGCTACATGTCCTCCTGGATTTGTTGTTGACGTTCTGGGACGCCATGTCAGTTTATGTTTACATGCATTTTATCTTTTCAAAATACACGTATGTCTTCACATGAAAACCTTTAGTAAAAACATCGGGGGGGGGGGGGGGGGGCAAACAGTGGTCTCCCAGGTGAAAGTCCCCAGACAGGAGGGGAGGTGGATGGGTCTTTCAAGCTCCTTCAAGCTCCTTCTATTACATTGTTAGTGGTAGCGTTACAAATTGCCACCAGCTGGTGCAATTTGTAATGCTGCCAGAGGTGCCTTTGTATGTCGGTATCTTACATGGTCGCTCATAGATGGGAGGGTGAACAGGGAGAACAAGTTTGCTTTGCTGCACTGTTTCAAATGCTGTAATTTGCAAACGAAAACTAACAAAAAAAACAAAAAAAAAAACATGGTCGCTCATAACTCGTTGGTGGCCACTGTGTTAACAACTACTGCCACACAATGCTTATTATAACGCAACGAAAGGCGCCTTCGTGCATTGGTATCTAACACCCAGTACACTGACAAAGGCCCAATCCCAATACCCACCTTGTCCACTACCCCTTAGCCCTTGGCCCTACCCCTTGGCCCGTGAAATGAAGCAACGAGGGGCAGGGGTTGAAATCTTTCCCAAGGAACTCACTACGTCACTGTGTCGGTTACGATCACGCATACGTAACTATTTTAAACAGGAAGCTGCGAGCCATCTTCATTTCCAACTGGCATCTACAATGGAGTCTCCAGTTGAGTTCATCCTACCGATCGCGTTTGTATTATTCATCATGCTTCGTGTGATGAACGATAGACGACAGGGGACTTCTGCTAGCCAGCTAACATTACGAGGCAGCATAGTTATACTAGCTTCTGTGATATCGTAATGTGAAATATCCGACAATTTTGCAGAACAGGACAGATGACAGACGCCAGATAGTGCAAGCTAGCTAGCTAGCTAACAAGCAACCTGATGACGGTAACGTTAGCTATGTATGAACTTATTTCCCCATCTCTTGCTCGGTGGTAGCCATGGCGATGTCTACCCATCGCTGGCAAGTCAGGATCTGAAATCCCTCGCTCCGAAGGGCTAGTTTCATACCCACTACCCCTCGTTATGCCCCCTACCCCTACACGCAAAAAGGAATTGGGACACCCCTACCCCTCGCGGGAACGTGCAAATGTAGGGGTAGGGCCAAGGTGTAGGGCTAAGGGGGGGTATTGGGACTGGCCCAAAGTGGCGGTATTTGACGGGTTCAGAGTGGGAACGGGCTGGAATGGCCCTGTCTAGAGTGTTTGCCAGTTTTGCGCTACTGTAGAAACAGCATGGTGGATTCTGTGGAAGAGGACCCGCTCGGTTTGTAGATATTAACTCATTCAGCTCATTCTAAAGCAACGAAAACACAAAGATTCCTTATATCGGGTGTTTATAAACTAATACAACATGATTATGAATATCATAGGCCTATTCCATTTCTGCCAATAGATGCCCTTAAATCCTGCACACTGGACCTTTAAGGGATGATGTGAAAATGAATGTGTGAGACAGAATTCATGGCAATGCATCCAGTAGTAAGATACTTATTCTTATCCACAAATGTAAACCTGCAGCTGGTACAATTAAGGGCTTAAACTACATATCATATAAGGGCACAGATCAAGAGTGATAGTTCTCCCTGCTCTTAAGTACTTTCTGAAACAAGAGGACCGCATTCTCCAGTTATGATCATATATCTCCTTTGTGTCGAATTAGAGGGTGGAGATGAGTGCTATGGTAGACTAACACACAAATGCACTTAGTTGAACTACAAATACATCATACACATAATATTACAAATGTGTTGCCAGGTTCATTCAGCCTTCCGCCTCAGTTTTCAGAGATCACTTACCAATGATGTCATCAAAGGTCTCTTGTAAGTTTGCAATGTCCTTCATTCTGAAGTAATGCTCTCCGCCAGTCCCCGCTGTGAGAGGCTGCAGGTCCTCATCAAAGATATCAGCTCCAATGGCAAAAATATAAATGTCTGCAACAGAATGAAACATAGCATTAGTTGCATTAAAACATTCTGTCAAAGCTGCCTGCTAGGCATTAGTGCATAACACTGAAATGTTACTGATGATGTAGCACGTGTGTGTAAGGAAGAATCAACACCAACAAGGCTGAACGATAGCAACAGAAATCTTCACAACAAATTAAAAACTAAACCTACCCAGATATTCTTCTCTTGACTGAGCCTCATCTTCACCAGTTTGGTTCATGTATACCATGTTCTTTATTTTTGCCACAGTAGGTGCAGGTGATCCGCCCATATTATAAGCACCTAAGCACAAAAAAAACAGTGTAAAATGATGAATGAATGAATACTTTATACAACATGCATTAATTACATACTATAATTTTGAATCAGTGCTGATCTGACTGCACTTAAATTATAATTTAAGGGAAGCAGCAGCAGTAAGAACACAGTTAAATGGTGAATCGAAGGAATAATCTGACATATTGGGAAATACAATTCTTTACTTTCTTGCTTACTCTTAGCAAAAAACAAAAATAAATGTGCTCTACAAAACGTTGAATTATTCCTTTAAACAGTTGAAGCATTATTATTTAAATCCATAATTTTCCTTCAGTGAAAGATGCTGGCAGCTTCAACCCTGAAGTAATTAAATACACCAAGTGGCTGAAATTACCATCTGTGAAAAAGATGAGGACGTGATGATGTTCTTTGAAGGCCTCCGTTTTAACTCTTTGTTTTATAAGAGCCATTCGCTCCAAGAATGTAGTAAAGGCCATGTTCAGGTCTGTTCCAGTCTTCTTCTCTTTGAGTCAAAACACAAACACACACCCAGTAAAACGAAGCTCAAGCCACGAATAAAAAGTGATTCCAACAATATCTCAGATTATGTGACTCACCGCCTACTTCAAAACTCTCCAACTTATTCTTGACTTCACTTAGTGTGACTTGGCCATCCAAAAAATCAAGAATGCTGACAACTTCATCATATTCAGAGGAGAAAAATATGATTTCATAGTTTGGAGTCACGGAAAAGGATGAGATCTGTGGAGACATAAAGCAAATCACTCAGATAAGGTGGATGATCTTTAGTGTTGTATGAACTTTTGACACAACTTTGTAAACACGTGCAAACTTGTCAAACTGCTGTGAAACATTTTGTCGATGCAACACCTCCGTTTGTATCAAACTGCTTATGGTTGTTATTTTGTTGAGTAATTGATTCATTTATCAGCAGAAAGAGAATCCCGTAGTATGCATTGACAACAAGCCAAGGGACTCGCGCCAAGAAGCATCAATCATGATTATGATGTGTAATTCATAAAGCAATTTACTTCTAATGGGCCGTTGTGCTGGCAGCCAAATGGGGTGGGATTATGTTTGCGCATGTTATATGTACAGTGAGCCAAATGTGCTTCTGAAAGTGTGTCAGACAGCGTAAAAGGCCTCATATGTTCGCTGACACCAAAAATACGATTCAGCTTATGACTTGAAATAGTAAAATCCACTGCTCGCAATTAGTATTATGACAATCACACTCAAAAAGCTAATGCAGTAAAAAAAAAAAAGGAATGGATTAATTTGCAAAAAAAAAAGTGTAAAAATAAAACTGTCTATTTTAGATGTATGGAGACCAAAGGAGCCATAAAGTCAATAAATAAATAAGACATCATGAAACAGGGGAGCGCAGGGCACAACTTAACACAGGGTAAATTATAAAATGGACTTTTTATGTGGTTATACAGAGTCGATCCTTTTGTGCTACCACCAAAGAGTGGCCCGCGAAATTCCACAAAGATTGGATGTGTTTCAGCTGAGTTCAGTAACAAAGAGTGTTTTCAGTCGACATAAGAAAATTTCTTTGCCATACTTGTTTTTTGATCAAAGAGCTGTCTATGTAAGTCACTGAATCCAAACATATAGCTTCTTAACAACTGTCTTGTTGTCTTAAACATGGCACCATTTTGAACTATATAACCAACTCCCAGCAAATGTTAGCTAGGCTTGATAAAATTTCCACCCAGCGCGGTTCGTTGCATTTTCTCTATTTTTGCATTTTAAACTTATGTCCACTTTAAACTAATGCCCTTAATTAAATATACTTTGTATTTTTAATTTGCCCGGTATCTTATTGACACACAATATTACAATACAGTCAATACTCATATATTGACATGTGGATCTGGGTTTCCTATGCTGTTTACATACATACATACCAACCATTGAATATCGATGATAGACCAACAGATGGATGGATACCTGTATGGATACCTATCCTTCCCCTGATGTAGATGGAGACTTGTAGTTTATAGATAGAATCTTATTAAATTAATTGTGTCTCCCCTAATCATATGAAAACTGCAGATGGAATATTTAATATAAGCCTGAAACTATGAAATAATTGGGAGAGAGTTACTGCCTCAAGCAAGGGAGTTTAAGTGTCTCGGGGTCTTGTTCATGATTGAGGCTAGAATGGAGCGTGAGATGTGTTAAGTGTTAAGCAAGTCAAGTGAGTGGTTGTTTATCGGATGTGGTTCACAGGCAGATTATTTGGAGGTAAATACTTTTAAGTAATACTTTAAAGTCTCAATATCTTCATGACATTTTGGACCCATAATTAAAACAGTGGCTCGCTCTGCCATGCCCAATGCAAACATATATAATATCACTCCTCATCAGATCAAGTGATCGATGAAATGTCCAGAGCAGTCACACTAATTGCTATATCTCTAACATGTTTTAACAACTCAGCAAATTTATTGCCAACATCCATCAACGGTCTGTACTTCCACCCCGTGAGCATCCTTTAAACTGAGCCCACAATCAGCAAAAACAATCTCACATCTCCAGTCGCTGCACGATGTTGCTGACCGTTTGCAAATTCAGCATATTGTAAGAGAGGCTGTTCTGTGGCGATCGCCCTCCCCATTAAAAAAGCACCGTAAAACTTGAACATAAACTGATTTATAATTTGGGGTAATACTTGCTTGTCTCTCGTTTCAAACACGAGAAAAGCTGCTGGTGTCTTACCTTTGTAATAAGTTTGATCACAGCGTCTCTTGCATCCTTGATGTATTTCTCTTCAATGCTCTCAGAGATATCCACGGCAATGTAGATGTTAAGTGTCCCATTTTTTGAAATCCGTATTTTTCTTCCCTCCTGTGTGTCATCTGAACAATCAACAACAAATACTGTTAAAGTGCCGTTCACATTATATGCCATATTCATGTACAATTGTTGGGGGTTTTTTTTTTGGAGAAAGAAGTCTAATGGAAGAAAAGACAGTGTTAGATTGATATATACTAAACTAAATATGATATACTTAACTATAAAGTAGGATAAATGATAAAATTACTATTCTTAATAAAATAAAATGAAATCAACCTCGCATAAATAATTTATAATAATAAATAATAATCACACAGCATTGCTATCAAACATTGCTTATAATCTTATTATATAATGACGAAAACTCTTTCTGTGTCTCTGTTCTACGTTTTTCTCCTCACTGACTTAGTCAATCCATGTGGTACAGTGGTAGAGGGTCATGGGAGGATGCGAATGAAGCAATATTACATCAATTGGCCAAAGGGGGGCGCTATAGCAACCGATTGAAATTGCAAACTTTGAATGGGCATATCTCATGCCCCGTATGTCGTAGAGACATGAAACTTTGCACAGAGACACCTCTCCTCATGAGGAACAAATTTGCCTCTATAACCCATAACTTCCAGTTATATAGATTTTCCGCCATTTTGAATTTTTTGAAAAACACTTAAAATCGATCTCTTTCTAGGAAGTTTGACCGATCTGCATGAAACTCTGTGAACATAATCTAGGGACCAATATCTAAAGTTCCCTCTTGGCAAAAGTTGGAAAACTTACTAAAACTGAGCTTCTATAAGGCAATGAATATTGCGGAGGGCGTGGCTCATCACATAAAGGTGTATAACATCTCAAGGGTTTCACCAATCACCACGCAACTTTGTAGGCATATGACCACACATAATCTGAGGGGATGCCTCCATTACTGACCCCATCAAACAAAATGGGGCCGCTAGAGAGCTGATTTCTTATCTAGGCTTAACCGCCATAGCGATTTTTACTAAACTTGGTAGATATGTAGAACAGGACGCCTCAAGGTGACTGGAGAAATTTAACTCTAATTGGCAACTGGGTGGCGCTATAACAACTGAAAAATGCTTAAAAATGACTAAAATGCGACCCATCACTGTGACTCCCCCTGTGGACCAATGTTTTGGGGGGTTTTTTTCTAATTTTTGGTCTGACTAAATCATGGTATGGTATGCTGTACTCAGTGGGTATGGACTAGTCAGATTAGATGCAGGAACTTACCGATGGGCTCTAAAGTGGTGAGGCTGTTTTTGATCGCACTACCAAACGCCTCTGAAACCTCCAGTGGAGTGTCATAGGTGTGTTTGTCTGCAAGAAGAAAAAGTCTCATAAACAGTAGTTTGTAAAAATGAAAATGAACTGACACTAAATAAAAGGAATCACTGCAGAGACTGGGGTTCACTTCAGAGTCTACTGGTGGGAAGTTGGTGAGGGATCACTGGAATAGTGACTCCTGCTGCATGTAGAAATCCCACCTGCCTGATCAACCAGTAGTCAGTAGGACATGATCCCTCACTGGCTTCCCACCAGTGACCAGGAGGCTACATTTTTGAAAGGGCAAGACGAGCGGTACAAAACCAGAACTTGTTGAGAGGTTAATTTTATATACAAAACACAAGCACACACAGCTAGTTAGATGACTACAGCCTGGGTTGTGCTTGATCAGAGCCAGGCCAGGCCAACAGTGTTACAGGTAGCAAGCAACAACAAGGAGGCAAGTGGTCGTTCGGCAATGAGAAAAAGAAGAAACACTGACCTAGTACAAACTCTTGTTTCAACAGTATGGGCTAAGACTGTTCTTTTTGTGTTTCCCATGTTGGTAAAATCAGGTTAGAACATTCTTTTGACACCTGATCTGTTGCATGTAAGCAGGCAGGTTACGTCACCTGGCCTGTTGACCACAGACACAGCTGTCTTTTACACAGGATACAAACACCAGTCTTCTACAGGAGCTCTGTGTTTGACCTGCCTACTCATATGGATTTTCACTCTCTATATTACTCCTGTCAGTGCATTGGTCACGTGATAGCAGCCCTCATACGTATGTAGGTTATATACCTATTTTGGTGCATAATTTTTTGTAGGTATATGTATGACTGGTGCATGAATACAGCCTGTAACCTGTTGAGAGCTGTGTGCAGGCAACCTCTGAATCATAGATATGCTCTGAATATCAAATGGAGCTCCTTTAAGCACAGTTTCCATGAGACTCAGTACAAACAGTATTCATAGGTATCAGTCTTACAGTAGCACGCTGGCTCATTGCCAGTCCACTGGCCGTTCTCCTGACACACCCTTTCACTCGACCCCACTAAAAACAGGTCGCTGTTGCAGCTGTATTTCACTGTGTCGTCAATTCCAAATATGTTCCCTGTTCTTGAGGCACCAGCTGGGATACCAGGATCAGCACACACGTCCCCTGCTGTGGTGACAAAAAAGACAAAAGACAAGTCACAAAACAGCCACCAGTGAGAACACACCCCAAACCTGAGTGGATGGCTTCTCAGGACTTACAGTCACGGCTGCAGATGGGAGTGGAGCCGCTCCATTTTCCATTTGTTAAGCACACACGTTTGGCTGAACCTCGCAGCGTGTATCCAGAGTAGCACTCATACGTGGTCTCATTGTCCACAAAGTACTTCTCCTGAGGAGGAGAGACGTTGCCGTTCTCTAGCACAGTGGGGTCTGGGCATTCAACAACTGCAAAACAAAAGGATCTGAGTTATCATGTGGAGCAGGCAGCCAGAGTCAAAGTGAGAGACATCATCATCACATCACTCACGCTTGCATCTCTGAGGTCTAAATCTTTTGGGTGCTGGATTCCAGGAGCCATTAGCCTGGCACAGGCGGGTTAGATGGGGGTATGGGTAGTAGCCCTCAGGACAGTGGTAGACCAACATGCTGCCTGTCGTCAGCTTCTTGGTCAGTGAATAATGACCTCCCTCCATTGCCATACGGTCTTCTGTGCAGTCACATCGAACTTCACCTCCTGAAAAACAAAAGGCCGTTATGGGGCATGGAGGTTTTGCACACACTTCTTAGATTTACTAATGCACTCAAACTTTTGAAAGCTCCCTCCAGAGTCATGAAAGACAATATGCAACTACTGATAAAAAAAGGGCCCCTTCAATACATAGGTCTCTGTAGGATTTGGGCTGTTTTGCTGCATTGTTAAAAAGTTAATATACATGTGGGCTTAAGACACAAGTTGTTTTTATTATTTACATTTGCCTACACATTCATATAAATAGTGTTGAGGCTGAAAATTACATTGAAATTGTTTGAAGCTGGCGCTATAAATGGTACATAAAATAATCTAAAAAAACATTGAAGTGATGAATTTATCCCTAAAAGTGTCCTGGATAAATAAAAATCACCACAGCAGTCTTTGGAGAACAAGTTAATATTTACCTTCTGTGCACCAATTCCTTGTTAAAATGTCCCCACTGATTGGCTATTTAAAGGAATATTAGCAAAGATACACTGAAGGCTTGGTTGAGCTTCCAGTAATACTGTCAAATCTGTGATAGTTTTCATTTCAACCAGCTGCTTTCAGCCATCCCAACTAACTGGAAATGGAAACTGGTCTGTGCACTTAGTACAAGGTGCCAGAAATGACTATCCAAAATAGTCAAAAAATATTTTGAACTTAACATTTTGACACCTTGGACACATTTTTTTCAATCAATTTACAAAACAACAATTGATTCTTACTCCAGAATTTTTCAACTGAAGATTTTCTATAAAATTATTGCTACTAAAAACCAACTTCATATGTTTAATATCGAAAATTCATCACTATGTAGATTCTGCAATGAGGAAGAGGAAGACCAGCTGCATTTGTTTTTCTACTGCCCTTATGTTGCAGGTTTCTGGACTGATATCCAAGGCTGGCTCGGGCCTCTCAACATTTCTTTTGAACTAACACCTTTTTATATATTTTCATTAAAAGCTCAATCAAGAACAAAATTTAAATTTTAAGTTTCCTGAAAAATACAGTGCAATGACAGTGCAAAAAAGTTACAAGTTACAACATAACATGAAATGGGAGAATTTGCTCTAATGAAAAGTGGAACTATATAAATCTATAATTACAGTCTACCTGTCATATAAACTTCATTACATTTTTTATTTTTATTTTTATTTTTTATGTTTATTTTATTTTTTATTTGATTTAATTTAATTTAATTTATCTAATTTTATCTAATTGTATTGTATTTTGTTTTACTTAATCATGTGATTTACTGATTTGATCCCACTATCTTCTATTTGTCTTTTCTTTTTCCACTTTGGTCTGTGTAAGTCTAACATTTGTTTGTTTTTGTTTGTTTGTTTTTGTTTGTGTGACCATATTGTCATGTTGTGATCTGTGCTTTGTGCATTATTTTTTGCCTGTAATTTAAAATAAAAATAAAATAAAATAAAACAGCACATATTAGGAACATGATTTTGTCTTAAATTCAAACAAATAAACCAGCAGCAAAATCTCATCTCAGAAAAGCAAATATTTTACCAATTAGACAAAATTGTCTTGAAAAAAATTAAGTTGTGAATTATTTAAAAATATGTTCGTAAAGGACTGAACATTTACAGTTTAGTATGTGTAGCTATCTTACAAAAGTCAGCTTGACTTATATAGTAAATAAAAATACATGGACATGGTCAAAATTACATATAGAATATTATAAACGTAGCTTACCCATACAGAGGAGACATAAAAGTGCAGCAAGCCAACTCCAGTGCACAGAAAATCCCATGTTGAACCTTAAACCAGGGAACGAAAAAATGAGAGGATTTCCGAGGAGCAGTACATTTATTTCAAAGTGAATGTTCAGAAAGAGGGACCAGATTAACAAAGGCCATCCTGGTACTTATTAACTTCAGGACAAATAAAAGGAAATCAATAGTGTGTGTGTGACAGAAAACATCCAAACAAGTTCTTATAAAATTTCTACTATTGCATTAGACCTTAATAATTTAAATAATTCAGTTTCAGTTTCCACTTGACTAACGAAGACAAAAACAATAGTCTTTTCATTAATTATATTACAATAATTAGGAGTACTTTTTAAATGTCAAACAATATAAGCAAAAAAACAAAGAGAAAAGAAAGACTATTAGGTCCTTACTACCAATTCATGACCGTCCTCCTCAAAGACTTGAAACAAGTCAATAAAAAGTTTACCTGTTGATTTTGACTGTTGTAGTTCAGATGACTCTTGTCTGTGTGTCTTCACTTTAAATAGGCCAGTTTTGATCCTGGATTTTCCACCGTGTGTACACACCCAGTCACATGTTGCATAAAACAGTCAACAGTAACAGTAAATAAAAAGTAATTGTGAAACCAGCCAACCTGCATCATTTCCCAAAACCTGCAGGCACTGTTGAGCTTTACTTATTGACACATTGATGTGGTTATTGATTGCACACTCAGTCATACCAGAGTGTGGTTTAGCTGTAGCTCCCCCTGAGCATTACAGCCATTTCACTGACTGTTATTTGTTCAGTTACTAACACAGCGTACTGATTTATACTCTTTAAATCTATCAAAGGTGTGACAGACTCTCTGTGAAAGCAGATTTTGCATCGTTTGTGGTAGTTTGTCAGCAGCTCGGTGACAATGAAGTGGCTGCTCACCTTCTAATACATGTTGATTTGTTAAATTGTGAACCAGGAAGGACGCTCACTTCTAAAGGGATAAAGTTTTCCTTTCTTAGCACTTGCATTTTCCTGATTTCTGGCCAATATGCCAATTTTACTCCCAGTATAATCTGATAAACTGATTATTATGAAATTTACACATTCATGCTTCCAAGGGCGCCACCCTCTGGACATAACCATACTGCTGGTGTACTCTTACAAAGTCATCATATTGCCAAAGACTCCAACATTACTGAAGCATGTAATAATAAAGTCTATTGGAGCCTTACACTTTAAGGCACTTGGCCTTTTGGTACCTCAGAAAGTAACACATTCAGAAGATTATGCAGATGGAGGTTTTGGGCCTTTTATATTTATTATTGTTTTGTTTTTTTATTTTATTTTAGTTGTTCATCATGGGTGCTATTTAGATATATTTATTTCATGCATGAATTATTACGACCCCAGTCAAGATTTTTCTTCTTCAGTTTTTTTATTCCTCTTCAGGCATGAAAAAGAATTATGAAGTTCATTTTTTTAAACATATAAGTATAGCAAGTTTCAAACTAAAAAGATATATAAATCAATCAAAAATTGATATATATAATATGAAACTATAACAATATATTTTAATGCTGTTAAACCGGTGTGTTTACATTTTTAAACAAATTCTAATATTGTTTAATGCCATACAAAGGCACTGAACTTTGCTCCTGACTCCTCAGCTTCTCCCCTCTCTCTTTCTACTCCTCCCTTCTGTACCTACCTTCCCCTCTCCCTCTTTCAGATCCTTCCTCTTCACTCCACACCCCCCACATACCTCCTCCTGTTGAACTATATCATTTTTCCAATTTAACATTTTCTGCAAAAATAACAAGAATATTGTCAGAATATTGTTTTTGTCACAAAAACTGTACATTACCTTCTAATACATAAATCAATTGATTTACAGTCAAAAAAAGTTACTGCAGACAAAGTATTTTCAACAACAACAACGTTGCAGTAATAGTTTAAATACAGCCAGCGATGCATGATGCCCAGTTAAGTGGACAGGTGATCGCAATTTTCTCACAACATATAATCAATATTTGGACAATTTAACAACTGTATTACTCCTTAAATGTTACTTGATTTTTACAGATTTTACTTACCTTCCAGGGTCTCCAATTATAGAAGGAATGGCAAGGTATTCTTGAGCTGCCCAACACTTCTTGCATTCGATCGGCCATCTTGGTTTTTGAGAGATTTGTCTTGCACTGACAACACCTGGCCAGATGCTCAAAACCCATGCATAAACAAGAAAATGGCTTTATTATGCAATAATCAACTGTGCAACACTCTGGCATTAATATTGCATTTATAGTGTACATTTCAACTATTATTCTTTCATTCTTGTTTATGCTAGTCTTGCATATTTGTTTAGCACACATAGATCCAAATTTGTGTAGCTATTCATGTTTTTTATTTGCACTGTGATTAATATATTGTAGTATGTAGGGCTGCCACTAACGATTATTTTCATTGTCGACTAATCTGTCGATTATTTCTTCGATTAGTCGACTAATCATTTCATCGAAAAATGTGTTAAAATGTTGAAAAATATTGGTCTGTCTCTCCCAAACCCCAAAATTACGTCATCTAATGTCTTGTTTCTTACTCACGCCAAAGGGTTTTAGTTCACCGTCATGGGAGAATGTGTAAAGCTGCCAATATTTGAATGTAAGAAGCTGCAGTAAGAGTATTTTAGGGTACTTTTATAGTACTTTTCTATGAAAAATTACTCAAACCGATTAGTCGACTACTAAAATAGTCATTGATTATTTTAATAGTCGATTAGTCATCGATTAGTCGACTAATTGTGGCAGCCCTAGTAGTATGACGATGCACATATTTGAACATATTTCTTATAGTCCTTATTTTTCTTTTTTCTCTCCATATATTCTGTTATATATTGTAGCATAATGCATTAAAAAAATTCTCCATGCATATGTCTAGTAAAAGAGCAACTGTAAGGTAACTCATTTTACCTCCAGGGATCAATAAAGTATTTCTGGATCTGAATTGTTGTATAATGTATTATATGGTGACTACACATTATGATCATGATTTGCTGACAAACGGTTAAGACCCACAAAATATATATCTTTAATTTAATTTAATAAAATTTAATTTAAAAAAAATTCCAACTTTATTTATTAGTATTCACAGTCGAAAATGAAACATTACATATACATAGATACAAGAACAAACTTTTCTCCCACCCCACCACCCATCCCAGGGGACAAGAAGAAAAAAAATAAAAATAAAATAATAATAATAATAATAATAGTAATAATAAATTAATAATAATAATTAATTATTTTTATTTTCATTTTATTTTGTTTATTTTTTTTTATTTTATTTCTATTTTATTTTTATTTCTATTTCTATTTTTAAAGAGGATTTCTCTCATGTTTGGGCAGGGCTGTGTGGAACAATGTAATTTTCCTTTGCCAGCAGGGGGCGACAGAGCTGCACGCGAACCAAGGAGGGGCCGAGAAGAAGCGGAAATGACGAAGATGGCGGAAGTTACCGTCGATAAAAACAATAACGCGCCAAATTTGTGCTAAATTCACTGTTGTCACTGCCACACAGTCCACGGACTCATGAAAAACTTTGTCTAATCTTTATTAATACATTTAGGAAAGGCTGCTGGCTGAGAAAATTAGCTGTGCAGGTAAGAAAGTTATTTAACTACGAGTCGACGAAGTTACATCTCGTGTTGCAACTTCTTTATTCTTATTAATGTGTTTAGCTTCGAGCATCATGGTGATTAATGATATTTAACAGCGCTGTTAAGAGTCTGACAGATAAAACGGTACTTAATATTCATTAGTTACACACTGTGTACGACGGACAGCATTTACCTGAAGTTAAATAAATTAAATGTTTGTCTGTAGTTTGCGTTTATGAGTGTACGTGTGTTTTTCTGTGACAGCTTGACAGTGACTGTGTTTGTGTTCGCAGCATGGCTGTGCCTTTTGTTCAAGACTGGGACCTGATTCAGACTCTGGGAGAAGGAGCCTATGGAGAGTATGAAGCCTCCTTTATCATTAAAAAACAATCAATAAGCAAACAAAAAGCATTTAATGCAGAAATACAGCACGATTAACATGTCATGGTGCAGATGTATAGTTAAAAGCATTTACACTCAGTTAAAACAAGAACCGAAATAAGGTATTTAAACAGCCATAAGGGTGGCAGAGTGTTCAAGTTTAACGTCTTTTGCAGATTATTCCATGTCTAAGGTGCACTGCAAGATAATGACTTTATTCCTAGGCCAGTTCTGATTAAGGGAATGTGAAGCAACAACCTATTCTGTGTATGAGTACCAAGATTACGTGAGGTCAGAGTTAAAGATAATCCTTTATTAGTCCCACGACAGGGAAATTTGCATCATTTCAGCAGCTAAAGGGATGGTGCGAACTAGATGCTTCAGTAGCAATAAAAAGTATGCATTTGTAAAAAAAAAAAAAAACACCACAGATCAGTCCAATAAGTAAACAGTAAAAGCAAAATATAATAAATTGACAGGCTGATGAATGTTGGAATTATAGGTACGGCACATTTTAGCGTAGTATTGCACCTTAGTGATGATTGTAAACAGTAGACTAAAAGCAAGATATGAGAAATAAATAAACTGCTGAATGGCTAGATTCACATTATTGCACATTGGTACATACTGATATTGCACAGGAGTGATAATTGATTGTTGGTAGTCAGTTTTTGTACTTGAAGTCTGCTGGGAGCAGTGGTGATTGTATAGTCTGACAGCAGCAGGAAGGACCTACGGTAACGCTCCTTCAGACACCGTGGGTGAAGCAGCCTGTTACTGAAGGAGCTTGGGATGGGATGCATGGGGTGGGACATGTTGTCCATAAGGGATGAAAGCTTAGCTATTGTTCTCCTGTCTCCCACCACCTCCACTGTGTCAAGGGAACATCCCAGGACAGAGCTGGCCTTCTTAACCAGTCTGTTAAGTCTCCTCCAGTCAGATGTCGAGATGCTGCTGCCCCAGCAAGATGGCTGATGCCACCACAGAGTCAAATCAATGTCATGTACAGTTACTTTTTACACACAGTTCAGTCAGGAGCCTCTTTATTGCAACGATGATACAGTTTAGTTTGTCAGGAGTGCCCCTGCTCATGTGATGCTGTGCAGCAAATTTGACCCTAACCTCATGTTTTTACTGCAAGAGTTGAAATCTGCTGCTGACTGCAGACTCTGTTATCTGTTCCTCACATGATACTCCCTCTTTGTCTTGGAGAACATGCACTTGCTCTCCCAGTTAACACAAGTATACCTTTAATACAGTATAATGTTGAAGTCTGATATGCAACAAACACTTGGTGACTTTCCCTCATTTGACATTCCCACAAACCGACAGATTTCACCTCTTTTGTGCTCTGCTCCGCGCTTTTGCAGAGTGAGGCTGCTGGTGAACAGGCAGACGGAGGAGGCGGTGGCAGTGAAGGTGATCGATACCTCTCAGGCTAAAGAGTGCGCTGAAAATGTCAAGAAGGAGGTCTGCATCCATAAGGTGGGTCATTCACCTGTAGTACAGTCAGTATGACCTTAAGTATGAA